TTTTCCATGGTAGGGTATCTAGTTTCGGAGTCTATTAGACTTTTGCTGGTGTAATAGACGGGTCTTTGCTCGTTTTGCTCCTCTCGTACCAGCACGCCGCTAACTGCAGCAGTTGATACGGCGAGGTATAGGTACAGGGGTTCTCCTGTTACTGGTTTTGATATGATCGGAGGCTCGGAGAGGTAAGCTTTCAATTGTTTGAAGGCTTCCTCGCATTTCTCGTCCCATAGAAACTTCTTATTGTTTTTTAGAAGTTTGTAGAACGGGAGGCATTTATCGGTGGATTTAGATATAAATCGGTTTAAAGCTGCGATTCGTCCAGTCAGTCTTTGTACCTCCCTGGTCGTCTTAGGTGATGGCATTTCCAACAAGGTCGCTATCTATTTCGGGTTGGCTTCGATACCTCCGAAGGTGCATTTTGCGGGGTTGAGTTTCATATCGTATTTGTTGAGGATATCGAAGCATTCTTTTAGGTGGGAGATGTGATTTTCTCCAGCTGAAGATTTAACCAGCATGTCGTCAATATATTTATATACCTCCATGGTTTTTCCGAGCTGTCCGGCGAACATTTTGTTCACGAGCCTTTGGTAGGTAGCTCCAGCGTTTTTTAATCCGAATGGCATTACTTTATAACAGTAGGTCTCGCGTTCGGTTATAAATGCGGATTTTTTCTTGATCTTCGGGGTTCATCATGATTTGATTATATCCCGAGAAGGCATCCATAAAGGACAAGAGCTGATGGCCAGTTGTTGCCTCGACGAGGCGATCGATGTGAGGTAACGGAAAGCTGTCTTTAGGACATGCCTTGTTTAGGTCGGTGAAGTCTACACAGATTCTCCACTTTCCGTTTTTCTTTTTCACTACTACGGGGTTAGCTAGCCAATCGGGATAATGTACTTCTCGGATGGACCCTGCTTTCGTGAGTCGATCTACTTCGTCGTTGATGGCTTGAGCTTTTTCGAGGCTCAGCTTACGGCGTTTTTGTTTGTTCGGTTTGAATGTAGGGTCTACATTGAGCTTATGAGTGGTGACGTTTGGATCTATACCTTTCATGTCACTGGTGGTCCAAGCAAATGTTTTGACGTTGCTTTTCAGGAAGTCGATTAATTCCTTTTTAGTTTCGAGAGGTAGCTCTGATCCGATGTTCACTTGTTTCTCAAGATCAGAATCGTCGATGCTAACTCGTTCGGTTAGGTTCCTGGGGGACCTCGAATGTTCTGTTGCATCTCTCGACCTTCCTGAATCTGTAATTGCTATTGGGGTGATTCCTTGAGGATTCCAAATCCCCCCAAGTAACAGATCCTGGAGATCTTCTGGCTACCTCGCACGGTGGTTATTCCGTCAGGTGTCGGAAATTTCACGCATTGGTGATAAGTGGAAGCTACTGCTTTCATCTTGTGGATCTAGGGTCTTCCTAGAAACGGAGATGGTCTGTCGATGACTACGAAATTGGTCATTTTCATGATTCCTCCAGCTATGACTGGGAGCTTGATGGCTCCCAAGGAGGTAACTGTTTCCCCGGAGAAGCCTACAAGGTTAGCTTTCTGACCAATAATTTTGTAGTCATCTATTTCCATCCCTTTCAGGGCGTTATAGAAGATAAGGTCGACAGAGCTTCCGGTGTCCACCATCTGCTTAGGCACCTCGTAACCTGCTATGTTCAGGGTGACGATTACGACGTCATCGTGAGGTTTGTCGAGGTTTGATGTCTCGCTCTCCCAGAAAGAAATCTTAGTGTTGGATTCAGGGTTGGGAGGCTTAGATTGAGAATTGGAAACAGCCTTCCGTACGTGATTCTTGATTGAATTAACGGAGTCTTGACATATATCGGAGCCTCCGAGGATATAATCCACCCTCGAACTGGTGCTCGATTGAAGTGGTGGTTTGCTTAGGAGGGTCTCGATTTGTAGACTGTTCCCTTGGGTAAATTTTCCAAGAATCATGTCAACTCTTTTCTTGGGAGCTGGCGGTGGCGAGTCTATTTCCTTATCAGGCGATCTTTCGCGCTTCGGGGAGGTCTCTATGGGACCTCTTTTCTGGTAAGGTGGTGGTTTTTTGAGTTTCACGTCCTTTAGTTTCACAGCTACGAATTTAGCTAACAACTGTCGTTGGAGGTCCCAACACTCCTCAGTTGAGTGCCCTTTTCGATCGTGATATGAGCAGTGTTTGTTCTCATCGTAGCCTTTTGACCAGGGGGTTTGCTTGTCGCGGAAACAGGTTTTTCCTGTTGGACTTCCTCGACTGCATAAGAATGTTCTCCCTGGGTCTGATTATTCCGGGAACTCCCTTTTCTAGAAGATCCTTTTGCTTCCGAGGTTTCACCTTTTGGGTGATTCTGGGATTTCTTATGGATTTTATCTAGTGCAGCTGTTTCTTCTTCCAAGGTGATATATCTTGATGCTTTGTGAAGGGCATCATCGATAGTTGGGGGAGGATTGAGCGTTAGCTCGGACCAGAATTCTTATTTGTACCAGAGGCCTCTTCTAAGGGCTTCAATAGCGACTTGGTCGTTGGGATTCGAGAGCTTAGTTCTCACGACTCTGAATTTCTCGATATAGATTCGTAATGAATCTCCCATTCCTTGTCTGATTTTCCAGAGGTCGGCCTCGGAAGCTTGCTTTAGGATATGGGTCGAGTATTGCTTCATGAAGGCGTTTGTGAGCTGGTCGAAGTTATCTATCGAGTTCGGCTCAAGGCTTGAAAACCATTCGAGAGCTGTTCCGACCAAGTTTTTGGCGAAGGTTCTGCAGTAACCTGCCTCGCATTCTTCTCTCATGAAGTGAGCTTTCACGATAGCTAATCGGAAAGCTCTCAAATGAGCCTTAGGATCTGAGGTCCCATCATATTCGGGGATCCTAATTTTTCGGGTATCTCTTATGTAAGAGCTAGCGATTTTGTTTGTGAATGGAGTCCCACGGGTTTCCTCAATCAAGCTCTCGATTTCGGGAGCTGAGCTTGTTGCTTTGTGGACTTGAGCATTCAACTTTTGGAGGGCTGCGTGAGTTTGCTCCATGTATCGGCGAATAGCCTCAGGTCCCTCTAGAGGAAGGACCGTTGGGTCTTCATGATGAATCTGATGGGGAGATTCTTGACGGAGTCGAGTGTAGTCGTTCTCCCAAGCATTAGGTGGGCTAAATCGATCACTAGCTCTAGGGTCATTTTGAGGGATGCGACCAGGGGGTGAGCTGTGGGATCAGCTTCCGTCCTCTAGTGGCCATCTCGATTCGGGATCGCGCTCCCAGTCTGATAAGTAGAAGCCGATGCTCTTCCCCTAGGAGGGAAAGATATTCCTTCTCCGGACTTAAAAACAGGTGGCGGAGGCGGTAAACGTGTGCTCTGTTCAGTGACCCTGTTGGGCGCAGAGCTTGTTGTTGCTATGTTACTTCCCATAACCCTGGTTACGGGTGGACTGAATGCAGGGGTTGTTCCAGCATGAGGTGTCCGGAGAAAAGATTCTTGCCCATCTTGAGCAGTGCTGTTAGGGGAAAAATCCAGGCGTCCGCGAGGGAACGTGGGTTCGGTCAGTCGATCTCGGAAAGTGACTCCCGAGCCCTGACGTTGCAATGGCTGAGTCGTCTCAGTTAGAGATCTAGTCACCTCTTCGAACCATTGCTGTCGAGCAGTTAGTTGTTGCAACGTACGCTCATTATCCTGAGCTCTTCTACCAATTGCACCATCATTCGACGCATCTCGGATAGCTGAACTTCCGACTGGTTCGAGGCGGGTTGACGCTGAGGGTTTTCAGGGGGTGTAACCCCAGAGTTGTTTCCACTGGAGGATCTCGGGTTAATTATTCCAGTGGTGGTCTGGTTTGGTTGAGCATTAGCCGGAGGCTGTTGCTCGGATCGGTGATCGGCGGATCGAGGCTCCGGGTCCTGAGGATCCGAGTCTCTTCTGTTTGGTGAGACGTCGATCTGGATCACGGGATCGGGGATAGACGTGTTCGTTGCCTGGTTGGATTGATCAATTCTCAAGTTACGGAGTAAAGGATTCAATTATCTCGTCCCCACAGACGGCGCCAAAATGTGAGGGATAAAACTCACTTCCTAATTTAGGTTAGGTTTAGATTGGAGAAAAGATAACTTAAAGAATGAATATGATTATATTGATGTTTTTGGTAAAAGACGATTACGATTTTTTTGATCTGAGGTTACAAAGAAATGTCTGTATGATTTGTGAACAATAATACGTGTGAAACTTGGTTGAATGAATGACCCTTCTTCTTCATCTCTCCTTCCTTTATATAGTCCTAGGTCACGTTTAATTTCTCCTGATGAATCTCCGAGATTGCTTCCGTAAGTTGAGGGATTTGCAACAGCTTGACTTTGACCGAATCGTACGCCTCTTACTTCGTATCTTGAGCTGTTTTTGTTAGGTCCCCAAAAGAGAAGTCGGACCTCTTTTCTGTGACCTCTTTCCCGTGACCTCTTTTCCGTGACTTCTCTTGTAAGAATCCCCGGAAACAGCCTCCCTCTTTAGGTAAGCTTCGTTCTACCTCGAAATGATAACCCAATCGCGGCCCATCATTTGGCTGAATTAATTGATCTGCTATTTTTAGCTTACAGACCATATTTGGGCCCAACAGCCTCCATAGTACAAAATATCTGAAATATTTCAATTCTAAATCTAGAGAATTCTACTTAAATATCTAGATAATCTTATCCTAATTATCGAGATTTTTCTATAAAAATATCTAGATTTTTATTCTTAAAATGGTGGAAATTTATCTAGAATTTGGGCTAAGTTTGGACTAACCATGATTAGTGAATCATTAGCCCTATAATACTTCATCCAAATCAAGTTTATTTTTCAATACTCTGCTCGTTCTGGTCCAAGCAAGCATGAAACTATAACAGAAACCTGAGATCACGTTTCCACAAGATTAATATACATTTCTTCGAAGCTAAAGGTATATCTGAGAAAATTCTAGGGAATAACAGATGCATATCCATTTATATGTTGTAAGACTAATGTGGCATCGGAAACTGAATTAGTAGAACCTGATTGACCATACCACCTTCTCCTTTGAAGTGCTGCACACGGGAACTTTTACTCCATTCGTTAAAGCTTGATCAACCAACCTGCAAAGTTACAACACGAATAGGCTTAGTTGAACCAAGATAGTTAGAAACCTACTAGAATATATAGAAGCAGATGTTTGAATAAAACTCTATTAACATAAAAAATATATACAATCAAAAGCTTAGTGATAGCATGAAGAAATGATTCTAACTTGGCAACACCGGGTTGAAAGGGAAGAATTTTTTTCTTGAGGAGAACCATGAAAAGCTCAGTCTTCTGCTTGTGAAGCCCAGCTATGAACGCTTTCCTCTCTGCTTCATTCTTGGGAGCTTTCTCTGGCCAACCTACCTTCTTAAAATACGCGTTTATTCTGCAAAACAAAACAAAAAACAATTTCATTTAGACAAAACTAAACTGAAACTTCATCAAAATCTAGTTTTTGTAATACCTTTCTTTCCCGCCACTTATTTTCAGTAGCTCTCCATACAAATTGACGTCCCAAGTAACATCTAAATCTATCTGCAAAATTATTAAGACTCACAATTTGCAACTTTAAAGTATCAATAAAAAAAGAAATTAAGTGACATCTTTGAAAGTGTTGTTGAAGGAGTTCCTGTGACCGTCCTTCTTCGTATCAACAGGAACGCCATCGCAATCAAATAGAAGAGCATAAGGAAGACTCTCCGGAGAAGATGAAATAGAGCAAGTGACTCCTCTGGAGCGAGATCCTCTGGCCATTATCATCAGATTGGATCTCAGACCCATGAACCGCGACTTCTTAGCCTTTTCTGCATTGGGGAGGAAAGATGCAGCTTATAGCTTTGACTGAATTGAAGAGGAGGAAGGTGGCTGTGATGGTGAAACAAGAGAAAGAGAGAATTTCACAGTCGTCATTGTTTATTTGATTCTCTCTCTCTATCTGTTTTTACGTGATAAAATAACGGTTGGGAATCTCTTCAACTTATCTGGTCTTGCGCTAACGACCACAAGAAATAACCACCCGGTCCGGTAACTCAAAACCAGATCGGATTGCTTTTGGTGACTTGTTCAATTTATTTTTGCCAAAAATAAAAAAAATTCAGCTACCTTTTTTTTTTGAAAAACGTTACATTTGATTCAAAAGAAAATATGTTGGAAAAGCTAAGAACATGAACTCACTCTTCAAAAATGGAAGAGACAATCAACTTGTGATCTACACAACCATCTGAATCTACACAACCATCTGAATCTAGAGAGATTAAGTGGCTGTGAGATTGATACAATAACTAGAATTAAACTAACAACAGATTAAACTCTAGTATGAATCTATCCTTGTGGAGTATCACAACACTGATGGTTTGTGTACTTAAGCTACAAGGAATTAGAATCAGTAAGCTAGAGATGAACAGAACATAAAGAAGAGTTTAAAGGTGATTTAGAGTGAATGGGAAAGCAATGATCTGCCCTTAGGCAGACCCAAAACATGTATATCTTAACTCCCTACATTGTGACTAATTTAAAGAACACTTAGTAGGGTAGATGAGTGATACACGAAATTTATAAAGCTTGTCTCTTATTTCTTGTGTGTTAACATTACAATGGTACTGCCTCTTTATTTATAGAGGAGTGTCTTAGGGTTTACAGCAGCAGCAACAAGACAAAGGCTGAATAAACAATTCATAACTAGGAAATGAATAAAATAAGCATGAGGAAGAAGCCAAGAGAGTTTCTACAGCAATGAAGAGATAGTGACAGCTCCCAACAGCTCTCTTTCTCTTAAGAGAACATGTGACTTTTATCTTATTTAAATCCCCACTTCTCTAGCCTCTCTCTCTAGCAGTCACATGTATTATTTGAATTTAAATCTGCCTCTGAAGTTAGCTGGATGAAATTGAACTTGCCTTGCCTTCCAAGACCTCTTGCTCAAGCTTGTTGCTTGGAGGTCAAGACTGTACAGAAAAACTCCAACTTCAATTATCTGAACTCTTCTCTTCTTCTTCAGTTTGGTGTGGAGATGCTTGGCCTTTACTTCCTTTGTTTGGCCTTCACATCTCCTTGTCTTGTTTCACTCTAATAAAATATACATTTTTTTACAGCATGTGCCACTTTTTTCATGACTTTCTTTTATGAAAAAAAAATTAGAAACATATATCAAAACTAATGCACTGTTTCAATACATTAGCTACTTTTATAAAAAAAGAATAAAACAAATTCGAATCAAACCCTTGGTGGCCAGAGTGTTTAAAGCCAGATATTTCCAGAATTCATCCAGCCTTAATGCTAGTCTAGGATCCAAAACATCTTATGCTTGAAGAAGCCTTTACACAGCTCATGAACTGATGAAAATGGAAGGCTAGAGTAATAGCATAATAATTCATAAGATTCGGAAATATCCTTGGATTGATGAAAAACAGGCCAGACCAGTTACTTCCTCACGGTTGTTATCTCTCCATCACCTCCAATTTGCTTCTGATTGTATCCATATGAAAGATTTGAACAATGTGAATCATTTAAAGACTAAAATTGAGTTTTTTTAAAAAAAAAAATAGGATTACCTGGTGAAGATGCAAACCGAGGATTATAACAAGTGACAGATGGGGTTGTAGTTGAGACGATACAGTCTTAGAAACAACAATTGGATCAACCAATGGATGAAGGAGAAATTGACAATGTAAAACTCTACTACAAGAATAGATAAAATGTAAAATTGTGTCCAAATGGTAAATCAACAAAGAACATGGGTTAACCCATCAACCTATGGATCAACTAATGGAGGAAAGAGAAATTAACAATGTAAAACTCTACTACAAGAATATATAAAATTTAAAATTGTGTCCAAATGGCAAATCAACAAAGAACATGGGTTGAATGGATATTAAGAGACCATAATAAACATCATGTATTAATTATGTCAGGAAATGCTCGTTTAAATCCGGTTCAATCAGGGCTACCAACAAAAGGCAATTCAATTATAATATGTTCTTCATACCATTTTGTCACAAAATAACTTTGTGTTTGGTTGGGGAGGTAAAATGGGGTTCTTCATACCATTTTGAAAGAGTTTGATTGGCGTAGTCATGGTGTAATAACTTTGATCACCCAAGGTGAATAAAGTACTGAAACTACAAATGCCTTTTAATGATAAACGAAAATAGATCTCGGAGCTTCCCGCAATGTTCACTGGATCAGTGAACATATATAACTTTAAGAGAAAATTTATATATCGAGTTTGTTATTGAAATTTTTATTACTCTACCTCCATGGCTTGTACATTACTTTCCATTTCACTTTCACATGAATAATTAGGGGTGTGAAGAGGTCCAATCGACTAATCTATTGGAGAGATTTCTCACTCATGTTAAACAAATCGATTGTTCGCAGTGAGAATTAGATATCTATGTTGTCTGACCATACAAAGAGATTTAAAATATCTATAGGATACTTAACATCTTTCCAAACTCGTCGTATCACTCACTCGACCAAACTTGTGTGATTATGAAATAGATTTTTCTTCTAAAATTTGGTAGTTTGATTAGATTTTATTTTAAAACGTAAACTAACTACATCGTTTTACAATAAAAAAATAAGTTGTTAGGGCATTTCCAACTATGACACCAAATTTGGTGTTGAAATTACACCAAATTTGATGTTTTGGTGTAATAAAATTTTGATCATCTCCAACCATGACACCAAATATTACACCAAAAGTAATATTATATATTATTTGAAATTTTTAGTTTTGATAATCTTTTTTATATTCTTATTATTTATAATTGATAAATAATTGTTTTATCATACTTGGATATTATAATTTTTACATTTTATGTTAATAAAATTTATACATTTATTTTTGGTTTAACATACTATATGTTTCTGTATATATTTTATATATAATATTATTATCATACTATACATTTTTGTATTTATTTTATATATAATATTGTATTATAATACAAATGCCAAATTATTAATTATGAAATCACATAACAGAATAATATAAGTATTTCAATATTTGTATTAGATAGTATAACAAATTTAAATATAGTAAAAAAATTTAAAACAAAAAATGTTATTTTAATGTTGATGAATTTGATAGTATTGCATAAGTTTAATTATATACAATTAAATCTAACTTTACAATAATATAATATTATGAATTGTTCTTTACTGATTAAATATGACTTAAATAGAGATTATAATTGATATTTTAAATACAAATATATTATAATATAAAATATATGATAATAATTAGTGATTTTTACTTGATAATAAATAAAAATATAAAAGTTCTTTAATATTTTATTTTTACAAATATAAATAAAATGATATAACCAATTATTTGTTTTATTAGAAAGTAAAATTTACAAAAAAAATTATTATGTAAAAATAATTTAAAAATACTAATAAGACAGTATATATGTAAATACTTATTTGAACTAATTAATAATAAAAATTGAATTATATTATTAAATAAAAACATAATAAAATATACATATTAAATATTTAGTGTGATGAATAGTGTTACACTAAATTTGGTCGGATGGTGTAATTTTTAGTGTTTCACTGGAGATGAAATCACATCAAATTTAGAGTTTTGGTGTCCCATTGGTGTTGGCCTTGTATAAGGAAAAAAAACAACTTTGTTTTAAACCGGTTTCATTCACAATAAATTTAAAATGCTTGTACTTTATGGACCACAAATCGGAGAAAGAAGCACCAACTTTGCGAACTTTTCAAAGGTCACGTTTGATGTTTACTCTTCGAGTGTTCCAAGTTCATATAGTAATTACTTATTTTAGTACATCTCGTCATGGAGACTGCAAAGTTACGTAAATGTCCACGTTTCTGCAACCATTTGTGCCACAAAAAGATTTAAAAAAAAAACTAAATCCAATTTAGTTACAATTAATTCTTCTTCTTTTTTTTAATCAAAGTTACAATTAATTCTTTTATACAAAAAGACAAGAAACCATAAAGAGGCAAGAAGCTCTTAAGCCTTGGCCTCACCAAACTCTTTTTCTCTCTTAGTTATTTTCCTGGAAAAGTTTTCCACGAGAAAAAAGAGAATGTCTGGAGAAGGAAGAACATATCTGCAGCTTCTGCAAGATCTCACACAAGAAACACACAAGAAAGATCTTCTTCTGGTAAACAAAATCTTTACTAGGTTCTTGTTTATGTACTTCGGTCTCTTTTCATAAAAAAAAAGGTACTTGGGTCTCAAAGAAGGAGAATTTTTTTCCCCATTAGACTTATCAATTGTTGTTAAAAAAAAAAAAAAAATTAGACTTATCAATTATTATCAAAGTAACTGTACACCTGGATGATTGGGTGGGCGTTAGAACATTTCCAGCCAAATAGTTCTTTTCTTAAAGAGGATAGCTAAACAAAAAAACATATTTTAATATAATTTCTTATTTATTTAAATTTAAATATTAAAAATAAAACCAATTTTAAAATATCTCATAAATGCTTAAGTGAGATATTTTTTCCTTTGTACCATTAAATATATATATATATTATATAATGGACAACGTATAGTTCTTTTCTTAAAGAGGATAGCTAAACAAAAAACATATTTTAATATAATTTAATATTAAAAATAAAACCATTTTTAAAATATCTCATAAATGCTTAAGTGAGATTTTTTTCCTTTGTACCAATATATATATATATATATATTTATAATTGACAACTCTATAAAAACTTTTTGTTGTAAATGTTTTTGGAATACAAAGCTCGTTTGTCTATAATATTCTATTCATTTTGAACCGGACCAATCCGGTTAGCCCGTTTCTAATTAGTTACTGTTTCGAATTCACTTTGCGTTTTGATGAAAATATGAAAGAATATATATTTACACATTTCATTCAAAAATATTAATGGTGTTAACTTGTAAGCCAAGAAAAGTCCTTTTTAGTTCACACAAAGCATTCCTACATTGTGGAATCTCTGTTAAAAAAGACCTTGCTTCCTCGATTATGCAGACTTCTTGAAGACGATCCTCCTTGTACTGTTGGTCGGAGCTTTGGCATGGGCTTATCAATCAATCCAACCACCACCGCCAAAAACCGTCGGCTCTCCAGACGGAGCCGCCGTGACAGCACCGAGGATCAAACTGAGAGACGGAAGACATTTGGCGTACAAGGAGTTCGGAGTTCATAGAGACGAAGCCAAGTTCAAAATCGTATACATCCACGGCTTCGATTCTTGTATGCTCGACTCGCCTTTCCCCCATTTCTTATCGCCGGTAAGTTTTTCCGGCAGAAGCCCTCATCGAGAGCATGTTAAAATGTTAAACCCTTCTGTAAAATCTCATAAGCTGTCCGAAAATGATAATACAGCTTACCTCACTAGTTCACCCGGTGGTCTAACCCGTACCCGGGTTTAAGAGTTTTTAGGAGTATTTATCGGATTCTTAATTAGAGGATATTTCTTAAACCTAAAAAAGATTAATTAGACCGCTGGTCCGGGTCTAGCATAAAAAACACTAATTAAAAAGGGTTTCTTTCTGCATCATATTTTAGGCTCTTGTGGAGGAGTTGAGGATATACACTGTTTCATTCGACCGTCCTGGTTATGGAGAAAGTGATCCTGACCCGAATAGAACGCCGAGAAGCATAGCATTGGATGTAGAAGAGCTGGCTGATGGGTTAGAACTAGGACTTAACTTCTATGTCGTTGGTCTCTCCATGGGTGGTGAGATTACTTGGGCATGCCTTAAGTACATTCCTCACAGGTACTCTTTAACTAAAACCGTCTTGGTTCTTAGTATGGTGTACGACATGGGTTTGAATTGATTCTGAGTTTATGGACTTTGTAAACAGGTTAGCAGGAGCAGCGCTTGTAGCACCAGCGATTAACTACTGGTGGAGAAACTTACCGGGAGACATAACAAGAGAAGCGTTCTCTCTTATGTATCCTGCAGATCAATGGGCTCTTCGAGTAGCTCACTATGCTCCTTGGCTTACATATTGGTGGAACACTCAGAAATGGTTCCCATTCTCCAATGTGATCTCTGGTAACCCCATCATTTTCTCCCGTCAGGACATGGAGGTCTTGTCTAAGCTCGGATTCGTCAGTCCAAATCGGGTACAAGCACATCCATAGATGTTCAGTTTAACCAAACTATGTGAGGTTTGGTTAAGATTCTTTGTTTTTTTTTCAGGCATACACAAGACAACAAGGTGAATACGAAAGCCTACACCGAGATTTGAATGTTGGATTTTCGAGCTGGGAGTTCGATCCTTTAGACCTTAAAGATCCGTTCCCGAACAATAATGGCTCGGTTCACCTATGGAATGGTGACGAGGATAGGTTTGTGCCAGTGAAGCTTCAGAGTTATATTGCATCAAAGCTTCCATGGATTCGTTACCATGAAATCTCAGGTTCAGGACATTTGTTGCCTCTTGTGGAAGGTATGACTGATAAGATCATCAAGTCACTTTTGGTTGGGGAGGAAGAGGTACGTGAGAGTAGAGAAGCTTCTGCTTAAGTCAGTATGGTTTTTATTTTGTAAGGATAACTATTATTAATCTTTGTTGAATTTTAGACAGATATTTCCTGCTTGCAGTTGCTACAAGTACAAACTAATTAACTATTATTAATCTTTGTTAAATCTTATTGTACATTTGATAAAGCAACTGAAAGTTTCATTTTTGACACAAGAGTATGCTAAGAAAATAACAAAACTGTGATAAGACAAAAAAGTAATTGTTGGTGTGTAAGAAAATATGAAGAAAGATCAAACCATGTTAGGGCGCTGAGGAAGAAGAAGATTGTAAAACTTATTGTGCAAGAAAAAGCTCTTCCCTTTGCTATCAACTGCTTTTTTCCACCCACACCATCCACCATTCACTATCTTCTTGTGATCCTCACCACCTGTATAATGTGGATCCAATATCAAGAACGCACAGTCCCCGCTTCCTTCATCGTAATCCACTCCCAAAAGCGTGTATGCAAGAACTCCACCTCCTGAACAACGACCATTCCCATAGCAATACACAAAACACAGTTTGTGATGTCAGAGCCAAGGTTGAGTTCACTGGTTTGGAGCTTATCTGATTCATATTTGATGTGATCCTTTTATATGTATGGTTTTATTTTCGCTTATGCTCTTTACATACAGACTATCTAGAAGGCTATGCACACCAGTGCTTTTGTTTATTAAGGATTAGCTTGTGTAAGGTTAAAGCATCAGAGTGATCAGGCTTTTAACTTACCGATCATTATTGGAGTTCCTTGCGTCTCAAAGTGCAGAGCTAACTCACGGCATTTCTCAGGGAGCTCTGATCCGGATCTGAAGTTCATGATTTTGCAACTTACCTGTATAGGGAAATTGAAGACCAAGAGTTTCTTTATGTCAAAAATATGTGCTGAAATATATTATTTCTTAGTATATATGTTGAACGATAAATTTAGCTCCGCTTAGTTTAGAGTAGAAGACTTACACCAAGAAGTTTGTCCAACACGAAACTCAGCTCAATGGCACCGATCCACTCTCGCGATCCTACAAATGACGGCTCCTTGTCACCTATCTCCACGAGTGTCTGCTGTATTTCCCTGAATATCCAAAATGGTACTTACAAGATCAAGAGATGAAGGCCGCCAAAAAAAAAAAAGATCAAGAGATGAAGAGGGTCTGAGTTTTTATTCAGGAAAATATTGTTTCTTACCGATGTGAAGGTACAGAAATGGAGGTATAGTGTTGAAGTCTGAACCAAGAGATGATAGTTTGCAATGATCGGTATGCACAACCCCATCCCTAAACAACAACATGAAACTAGAATTTAGAAGTAGAGACACTACTTTTACTTTGTACAATGAAATAGCAAAACTTGAAGCCAGTATCAGGTTATTCAATTGACACACTGTTTTGAAACAATGGAAGAATGAGAGATGATATACCGAGTCATCAAAGCTATCTTGAAGATAATGATAATACTCATAAGAACCTTGGATAAGAGATGAAACACCCTCCGAGACTGCATTAAGCGTTTCAATTTGAATAGCACGAATCAATAAAGCAAAGAACTAAGAAAGCAAAGGCATAGATGATACTAACCACCGCTGCTAGGGATTCCGATATGCACATCTTTGAGCAGGATGGAGCCTGACAATGCCCAGGTAAATTAACAACTAGATCTATGGAAAAATACTGAGACAGAGAGAAAGAATAAGAAACTAGGCAGATCTATCTACCTCTTTTCTTTGTGTTACTCCTTGACTCATCATTCACAGACAAATCCAGGGCATTAGCAGTTCTCAGAAGCGGGCGATCAAGTGGCAGACCAAGCCTCATGTGTAGAGATTTCCTAACATCGACTGCAAAGAAAGTCAAGGGCAAGACCCATATGTAATTTAAACATCACAATATCATCCAAAAGGAATGAGACTTTGAGTAAAATTTTGCTAGGTCAAAAACATAGCTGAGTGCTAAAGTGATGATTCTGAAGCTTTCCGATAGATAAGAAAGGAATATGTATCATTTCAACACTAGCATGACTCTTATCTATCAAAGCCCTCTTTTAAACGTAAGCGCAATAGTTACCTTGCTTCATTTCAGTCTCTCCATAGTTAAGCTCGTATATAGTTGTTATTGGATGTAACACTCCAGGTGGATTGAAGTGATAAATACGCAACTGTAAGAACAAAACGATTTATATTATTAAGGAAAAAGAGAGATAATTCAATGAGGGGTGAAACTTCAAAAGATGATAGGGATATAAAACAAGAGTATATAGAAACGACATCCTACCTGAGGATGTTCCATCAAGAGGTGTGGTAAGATAATCTTCTTCAGGGAATACAGCTGATCAACCAAAGCAGGGATAACTAAATTTGAGACGGCGTGCATAAGTGGAAGTTCCTTGGGTGCATAAGTAAGTACATCAAGGTTCAAACCAACAACAATGAGCCTTGCTTCTTCCATAGCTGTGAGAAAAGAAGCAACTCAAGAAATGAGAACAGGGAATGAACATATTTGAGATTGAATAACTTATCTTCCAATTTCCAAGTGATTACCTGGAAAATATTCTGCAACAGGGGCACCAGAGGTTGGAGAATTTTCAGATCTATTAAGCATAACAGATATCTGGATCTTATCTGCATTCTATGAAGAAGTTTCAGGGGAGGATAAACAAAAGTCAGGCCAGGTGGTAGCGACAAGAACAGCAATACCAAGTATATGTTTCCTTACCTCTGCTGAATTTACTAGTGAAGTAGTTTTGCTGTTCGGACACAAATGTGAACATGATAACATCTTAGTGTCAGATACTTGGTCTTCAGCACCAGGAAGACGGTTAATGTTTGACGCATCGGCACCAAAACCAAAATCTTTACCCCGGAGGACGACTGGCTTTGGAACATCACCAGAAGCTTTCTTTAAGCTCCCGGCTATGTACACAGCACATGGTTCTTTAAACTGAGTAATAACAGCATCAATTGCTTCTAAAAACATCTTCTTCGAATCTGGAAACAGTACATAACTAAACTTGAGAAAAAAAAAGAGAGAATAATATAGCAAAAACAAGTAAAGAGGCTAAGACTTTACCAGAGGGAGAGCTTGCAGGAAAATAGAATGGCAACTTGATGGGAAGCTCACAGTGAAGCAAGCAACCATTCTCCCATAGATACTTTCCAGACTTATCCTCCTCATACACAACGGAACCAACAGGCTCTAGCTTTGCTGACTTCTCCGTCTTAGAGATGAAAAAATGAATGGTACCGGTTCCTGCATCGACACTAGCTCCAACTATCTTTTCATCATCTAATTCTCCACCTTCAGATACACTCTTACGCAATCTACGAGCTGCTCTGACCGCCTCAAGCGCGCTTTTCTCAGCGTCAGAGTCCCCAACTATCAGACCTCCAATGACCTCAAAACCTTTAGGTAACAACTTCCGGAGATCATCTGCTCGTTTAAGATCATTCAACAAAGATTACTTATACGCCACTGCAGGACCGGTCCTAAGCAAAGCCGAATGAAACATTGCCCCCAAATTTGTAAAAGAAAATTAAGTTGAAATCTTTAATAAATAGCCTATGGCCCCCAAAATCACAATGGCTGCCACAGAACTAACATTAAACTCAAGAACACTATGACAATGATCCATTATAAAGTATTGATCTTTCGATATCAAAAAGAGTAATAAGCATTTGAATTAGATTCCACGTGAGCTAATTGCAAAACCCTTGTAGAAAAGTGGTTTCTTCTTACCAGATTCTTGGTCGAGATCAAGAGACTGATGGATGCATCGGAAGGTGGAGACGACGGTGAAAGGTGGGAAGAATGGGGAACCGATGAGCCATTGGAGAGTTCCCTGTTGGTTCCCAGAGAGAAGCAGCTTTGGGCAAAGGACTCGTAGGGTCGATGTCTCGCACGAAGGAGCCATCGGATCCAACAAGGCAGGAATCAGTTTGTTTTTTTTTTTAACTTGTGTTTCGATGACTGCTTGTGCCTGTCGTGAGAGACTTAGGGTCCGACTGGTTTCCCCGCTACCACCCGCAAACGCAGCTTTTGCGGTTGATGGCGGTTGCTAGCGTTTTGCAACAATCACAAAAACCACTACAAATCGCTTCAAACCGCTCTCAACCTCTTAAAATCAAAAGCTGGTTTCAGCTAGCGTTTGCGTTTGCGGACGATTGCGGGTGGGTAAAAAACTATTTTTTAA